GTTACTGTCGTCACGCAATTTCGTCTTTGCCGGTCACGAATAAGTCTACTTGTGTGTTTATTTTCGTCCGCTGGAGTGTAATGAATGTTGTTATGGTACTAGACAACAATCCAAAATAATATATTAACATATATGAGTAAGTTTCTGTAGATGCCAAAGGTTCAAATTCAAGGACTTTTCAATGACTTTGAAGGCCAAGTTTTAGAAAATTGAAAGGACCACTTTTGGAAAGGTTTGCATAAGCAACTTTAAAACTATTTAATATTATTTCTCAGCTTTTCCATGAAAGTACTGTAATGTTCAACTTGAAAATTGTTAAAGAAAAAGCATTGCAAAAGTCAAGCCTTAGTCCTCAAATTCGAGTACTTTCAAGGCCTTTTGCAAACCCTGAGTAGGTAATGTATTTGTCTTTAACTGCAGGGAGAAGGGAATTTTTTATCGATTATTGGTACCAATTCGTAGTTGTTGCCAAATGTTCACCCAAGAAGAGTTGTCAGAAATCAATAGATTGGGCAATATTACTGTTCAATAGTTCATATAGTTTCTAATAAAAAAATCTCTGAATATTTAATATTGTTGATGGCCACAAGAAGAGAAGCAGTGCTATTTAACAAATGGTAAACACCACACCGTACACTATTGAGTTATGGATGCACTTGGGAGGTTTGCTAAGCACTCAAGAAGCGTAAGAGTCGCTCGAGGCGATAGCCGAGAGCGACTCTCGAGCCCACGGTCGAGCCCAATCTCGAGCCCACGGTCATTCTGGCTCATTGTCAGTCGTTTGGCCGATCACAGATGTAAGTGTGTCATGTATGGTGAATTATTATGTCCCCAATACATACAATGTCCTTTACTTTACATACATATAATATCCTAATAATTTGGATATATCAACAAAGTTGAAATGGTAAATTGGCCACCATAACGATTACAAAAGCTGACGTTTCGAGCGTTAGCATTTTAAGCTGTATTTCACTGTACTGCTGGTGAAATTGAGCCATGAATCTGAGTGGAAAAAGATAGGTCCAAATCATCAATACAGACCATAAACTCTGTTAGGGTGAGTCACTGGACACCCACACCAAACCATTGTCCCTCACCGATCAAAAAATTTCTGAAATACTCAGTATAACTCGGTAAAGTGAAATGAAGAATATGACAGTTGCCATAAGGCAAACACTTAATTTTTTAATTTTTCTTCCGTTAGCTCCTTTTTAGGCAGTGAATTGCTTTGTCCTTGGACTGGACTACCAACTCATTTGGAGAACTCGCTCATTCCTACCATCTAAAATACAAGATTTCTTCTTTGGACAAGTGTTGCCAAAACCAAAGGAAAATCCTGACCATGACACCTAACTCAACTGTTGGTTCAAAAGTAAATGTTTCCCAGATGATCCACCTTGTGTGCATATTAAGTCATTAACAGATGTAAAATTTTAACCATCTACACCCTAACACCATATTTTGGAAGAGGGGATTCATAAAAATATCTTAGTACACCTGCTAAATATTTTACCAAAACTAATTTACTTTTGTATGGAGTTTTGTTAACATTCAGCATAATGATCCTCAGTAGTGCATTGTAAACATAATATACCGTAATTATTGCATTATAATGAACTTCACACATGAAAAGTAACCGTAAAACATAACACTTCAGTCTCGTGGATTGTTTCTTCAGTGGATAAGAGCTTGAAAATGTTAAGCAGAACAGTCTCAACCTCTCAAGGTTGTCAAAATAATTGTTTGAATCTCCTTTACTAAGAGATTTCATTCTAACCCAACATGTCCAAGTTTTTTTGTGTGTGTGCAAAAACACAAACGTTTCTGTTCATTATTTTCTTTAGCTTAGAAAAAGTAGATAAAAGTACAAAATTACATATTCACTTGTAAATCTCCATCCCCGCTCCCTCTCCCCCATAAAAACACGAAAGATTTTTTTCGCAACTAAACACATTTTTTTGCTTATCTCTGTGTTCATCAAGCTTATCATAGTTGATAAAAGTTATGCCGTATATGTCAATGACAACCTATACTAAAATAATACAAAACTAAGTTTCAAGATACACATGCTGCTTTTTGCTAATGGCCAGTCGCTACAATTCGGGTGCTTATGAAGCAACGTGAATGTCGCCATGTTGTCTGCGCTTGTTGCGGCTGCGCAGCATCAGGTAAGCTGTGAGGCAGACAATTGCCACGACGAGAACACCGCTGATCGCTACTGTAATCACCGTGCTCGCTGAGAGGGACTGGGGCACATTCTCTTCACCTGATCCAGCTGAGAAGAGAAAATAAATAATCAGCATAAGAGAAAGTTTCAAT